TTAAAAAATTGTTTTTCAGTTTGTTTAGAGGAGTTGTATATTGTAAAACTCGAGTTGACATTCAGTTTATTAAATATGATGCTGTTAAAACAGCGTCCCCCCATAAATATTTTGGAACATTCATTGAAAATATGATAGCCCGAGCAACCTCAAGTAAATGCCTATTTTTTCTTTCAGCAATTCCATTTTGTTGTGGAGTGTCACGACAAGTAGATTGATGAATTATGTCTTTATTTATTAAGAACTCCCCTAAACATTCATTAAAATATTCAGTTCCATTGTTAGATCTAAGGATGCATATTTTAGTTTCAAATTGAGTTTCAATCATGTTGTAAAAATCTTTAAAAAGTTTTTCAACTTCTGATTTTTTGCTTATAAGATAAACCCAACATATTCTGGTGTGATCGTCAATAAAAGTCACAAATCCTCTTTTCCCAAATAATGTTTTGACTTTTGAAGGTCTCTAAACATCACTACGGATCATGTAAAAAGATTTTGAAGGAGTATGATTTTGGAGAAAAATTTATGCGATGACTTTTTGCCAAATAACATGTTTCACATTGAAGTAAAACACAATTAACACCCTTAAACAAATTTAGAAATAAATGTTTTAAATAAGAAAAAATTGGATGGCCTAGTCAGATGCGATTCCATTATTTTCTCTAATGTAGGGTTCGATCTCATAATGCTGTAAGCTTCAACCTTATTTTTACCAGGAACAGTCTCCTCAAAATAGTAAAGTCCTATCTTTTTAGCTCTCCCAATCATCATTCTCGACTTCTGGTCCTGAAAAACAAGAGGATTCACAGAAAATTATACGTTAGTTAGAATCTTTTGAAAGTTTGCTGACAGATAGAAGATTACATTTGAGTTTTGGAACATGGAGTACAGATTCAAGACTTATACTCTTGGACAGGTTAATGTTTCATTTATTTTTCTTTTTCCAGCAATGGAGAAAAAACTACCGTCAGCAATACGAACATTTTCATGGCCAAAACATGAGATGTATGAATGAAATAGATAGTGTAAAGTGGTCATATGATCAGAAACTCTTGAATCAATAATCCAAGGGTTTAGTTGTCTACCTGCATGTACCATTGAACAAGTTGGGGTACCAATAGCCAAGTCTTGTTTAGCAGTTTCAGGAGTTGATCGGTTTGCTCTTTGTTAAATGGGTTGGTTTGTTCGGTAACATCATTAGCAGTAGGTGGATTGCGCTTGTTTCTTGGCTTCCAGTCTGCAGGTTTACCGTGGAGGTACCAGCAGGTTTCTTTAGTGTGTCGTGGCTTGCTGCAATGATTACACTATACCTGTGGTTTCTCCTCATTCTTCTGTGAATATGGAACAGTCCGCTTGCTGATATGAGCTTTCGATTGGAATGCCGCAGTCTCGGGTATGCTGGTAGAAATAGATTTCTTAAGGGTGGTGTTGCTGACAGAGTGGAATGCTGGATAGAGGTGGCAGAATCATTTATATTTTCAGACATGATAAAAAAAAGAGATGGTTCGGCTTTGCAAGTGGCGGAAGAAGTCCCTGCGGCTCAGGAAGTAGGAATCGGAGATAGGCCGAAGGTTCGACGGGATCGCGGCTTGCAGGATCGTGGCTTGTGGAAGCGAGCAGTGGCTGCGCAGGGACGAAAACTAGAGCTTCACTAGAGGCTCTTATTGGATATTTGAACCCTAAAATATAACTAAGAGAAATTTACATGGGCGGCAACAAATTCCTATGTATTTACATATCTAACACTTAAACTTGATTCTTACATATGTACCACCCAAATCATTCATATCACATAAAAAATATCACAAGTTTAACTTTTTAAAAGTTTAAATGCACCTTTGCATGCTTAGGTAAGGTGGCATATATGTAAAAATTGAAGATTAGGTGTTGGATATGTAAATACGTAGGAATTAAATGCTATCCATGTAAATCTTCCGTATAATTTTCTTTTTAAAATTTAGCTGGGCAACTTACTGCAAATTGACGCCAGTTACATGCTACCACTGGTTATCATTTTCATATCGGTAAATTTTACCACTTCAGATTCTTTACATCTTTCTTAACTGAGATTTGGTTATTTCAATAGATAGTGCATGTTTCCTACTCGCACAACTATATTTTTATCAGTGATTTATAAATTATTGATCAATGTATTCTCTTGAATTCGCTTAGATCCTGATGCATAAAAAATTTTTAGGAGATCAAGTACAATTATCATTAGAAAATGAGCCAAAGTCACCACCAGTGTCATCTTTGACTATTTTGGGTCAGCAACTTACCGCCATCCCGTTGAAGAAGACAGGCTTCTTTAGTGACAAAAAGGAGATGCAGAGGTCTTCAATTGTTCTTGGTTTTGTCGCACATGTAAGCTCAAATTACTCTTTTTCGTGCTGTTTTGTCACAATGAAGTTTTCTTGCTAGGTTTCATTGTAGCTGTCCATAGACTCATCGAATATCACTATCATGTATTATAGGCAGTCTTTCTCATTGCCTCTTATCTTGATGTTCCTTTACGATACCCGCTGCACTTAGGAGGTTCTCGTTCGCACATTTGTGACTATGCGCCATCAACAGAGGCCACAACATCTGATTCGACTGTCAGTTCAGTTGTTGATGCTTGTGCGAAGCCGACAAAATTTCCTCTCTTCTTGGAAGGCCAAGATTCTACAAGAGCGGCATATGCTATATTCTTATTAAATAAGGTTTGTTTTTTATTTACTGCCCCTCTCTTATTATATATGTCAAAAAATGCCATCTTTTTTTTACTGTTTCCATAGAAATGTTCCTTGTTTGTTTTCCATTTAGTTAGAATTATCCTGTCAATAGGACACAATGGAGAAAAATGATTTACATTGCCTACCCCAACTTAGTTGGATAAAGGCTTGTTGTTGTTATTATATCTTGCAAGTACAAATAGTTAGCAATTACCATCATGAATTAGTTCAATGAGATTGTGACATGTAGGGATGTCAAAAAAGCTCATCGTTTGCGAGCATATCTTGTTCGGATCGCTAAGTAGCTGGTGTTAGATTTTTCATTAAGCAAACGAGCCGAACAAGAACAATGATTTGTTTGTTCGTGTTCGACTCTATTTGACTCGAATTAATTAAATAATAAATAAATAATAGTAGTATAATATTTAAATATTAAATTTTTTGTATTTAAAAAATATTAAATTTAATTAATTTGGGCTAGGATTACAAATAAAAAATAAAATTTCCTTGTTGGATATGTAAATAGATAGAATTGGGTGGTATGTATGTAAATTCCCCTAAGGAAATAAATTTGCCTTGACCCTTTCTCCTGTCTCGTGGTCCTGCCAAATTTTTTTTCGTTGGATACGTATATACGAAGAATTGGGTGGTATGTATGTAAATGCTTGAAAATAAATGCTCTCGTGGTCTTGGAATCACCTTACCTCTTGCCTGGTTGCCCTGCGGTCTGCGGCTCCCACCTTCCTTCTTTCCTGGCTGCCCTTCTGTCTGCCCAACACTCCCTCCGCCTGCGTTTAATCCAACATCGGGAATAAATGAATGAATACTTAAACTATTCTCCTTGAAAGCAGATCATAGTTGCTCGGAAGCCATCTCACGCTTGATGGGGTTGTGATCCTGCATGAGCAAAAATTGTATTTTAATCTCTCTTAGGAGAGTATTAAAATAAAAAATTAATTTTTTGTAATTTAATTTGTTATTTTATTAATTTTTAATAAATTATTATTTTGAGCCGAACATGAGCTTAATTAAATAATCGATTTTGAGTCATGCCAAGCGTGAATAGGCTATTCACGAGTTATTTTGAATGTGAGCCCAACACGTATGATAAACAATTCGAATGAGTTGAACACGAATGAGCCTTAGTCTGGCTCAAGCTTGGTTCGTTTACACCTCTAGTTACATGTGACTAGTGACATCAGATTGAATTATAGCAGCAGGAGAACTCACATTAGATCTAAACCATTAGTGTTACTAACAATACACATATACATCTTTTTAAACATCTTGGTTCCATTCGAAAGAAATTTACAGAAGATTCAAAGTATGCTCATCCCTACTGTTAACTTCCCATTAACTTTGTTGATGCCTTTCCTACGGCAAATGATATTGTGACTTTCTCAACTCATATATGTCATTATGGTTTTTTGGGATTGCACATGATGATAATCTAGATGATGGTCTCCCCAACGAGATCTCAATAGAATTTCTTCTCATCTTCTTTGTCGTTGAGGTTTTTTGGACTTCACATTGTTGATCTAGTGGATGGCCTTCTCCTCATAGCGACTTCCTCTCCTATTCTTTGTCATAGTGGGAAGGGCACACGATGCCAATCTTATTCATTTCCTTCTCAAGTAAGATCTTGTTGCAACTTCCTCACCTCTTTTTTTGTGGATAGGGTTAATGAAGTGGTACATTAAGTAATCAGTGAGTTTTAGATGTTAAACATGTAAATATTATAGTTTTGAATGATATGCATGCATATCCCTCATATTAGAAATAAGAGAATATAAATAATTAATCTTCACTCCATGTACCATAAGGCTATTCAATAAGTAATATGGTATTTTCCAGATGATTCAAAAATATTTTAGATCGTAAAATACTAAGATTGTTGCCTCAATGTCATTAATTACTAGATAACAGAGCTAACCTTGTTCCTCTCTTTCTCGAAGGAGGCCATCAACTCACTCTTGTATACAAGAAAAAATAAGATCCAAACCAACCTAAAGTCTAGTCTTTTTTTTTTTTTTTTTGGCATGTTAGAGCACATATTATATCCAAAATATCTTTAGATTAATTAAATCATATGATATAATTATAAAAAATTTGTACATTTTAACGTATTTAACAAACTTATTAGAACTTGCAGAATGAAGTGATAAGACTTAATCCAACATGTATGAATAGTGCAACACAAAATAGAGCTACTTCTATCATGCATAGGAAAATAAATATGATATTTTACATTGTGTGGGAACATGCATTATATGTGCTTTAATGCGCGAAATAAAGCAATGCTTTTGTTAACTAGAGTATTTATGTGTTCTATATTATTATATACATATATTGCCGGCATACATTAGTATCTTTTAATTAATCAAACTTTAACTACAGTTATGTGATAATTTTCAGCAAATATAATGATTTGTATAATAAGAATAAGTTTTGGATATCCACAAGCTAAAGAAGGAAGAATCAAAGATAGAAATAATATAGCAATGAGCAAATATATTGGAAAAAGAAGAATACTCGTGTGATTGAGTGGCCGGCTAGAGCTGGAGGGGTGTAAGTTACATGGAACTAGGAACGTGAAGTTGGAGGTATTGTAAAGTATTCTCGAGAATAAGCTTGAATGTGAAGCTATTAGTGTGAACAATTAGAAGTAAAACGATGTATAAAAGAAAATTAATTAGTGAGAGAGTGTTTAATGAGAAGAACCATCAAAACCAAATAGCTCCAAAGGAAGAGCATATATAACCAACGATTCATCAGTCAACAACCAAAAGAAACAAGGAAAAGCAATTGTTTCTCCTCTAATTATTGTTTCTCCTCTAATCACTGCAAATCAACATGATGAAGTGTCGTGACACGTGCTTTGTTGTGAGTTTGTACTTTTTTCTAAACCACTTATTTTGAAGCCTGCTTTTAACATCATTGAGTCTATCTCATGTAAATAAATTTTTTTGATTGGCTTAACTTCTAAATTTAACCAACCTCTCAAAATCCAAGTTCTCTTTGGAGTCACTTCTTTTCCACCCCCTTTCTTTATCCATGAAATAACTCAAATGGCTGAAATGAGAAGAAATGAGGGGGATGACATGGACGTTTTGTGTAACCGTCGAACCGGCCACCTTGTTCAATTTCCATGGGTGTTTCAGATCTTCCAGACGCCAAGGGCTGTGTCAGCCCCATAAGACCTCTTTTCCTTTGTTATTAGGGATTAACTTGTTTTGAGGTTATATATTTGTTGCCTTTTTACTGGTTTATACAGTTTGGATGTTTCTCAGTATCATTTGGAGATTTCTTCTCAATTTTCTCACCTCTAGGAATGTTGTATCCTGGCTCTTAAAGTGGCGTAGCTATATAATGATAGAATGCACATGATGGGTCCTCCTCAACATTCGTATCTTCACCAATTAGCTGTGTTTTCTTGTTGTTTTCTTCCTGCACAGCAGACAAACTAATTCTTCTCTCTTAAAATCCTCAACATTTACTCATAGTTTCATTTTCTTACCATTCTTGCAGGCAACTTAAATTGGTGTTAGGGAGAAATGAAATAATTGAAACTTTGTATAATAAAATAAATATACCTGCTGTAAATATCTATAGTTAGTTCTTGAAAGAGTTCAAATCATACGTGCAAGTAATGATATAGATTTAATATAAGACTAAAAAAATATGAAAAATAGTCATAACATGTTATCCAGAGTTTAGAGCGCACACAAAATCATTAGTGAAATAAACACCAGATAGCTTCAGGAAATCTAGTTGTATGATCCATACATTAGTATCTTTTAATTAATCAAACTTTAACTACAGTTATGTGATAATTTTCAGCAAATATAATGATTTGTATAATAAGAATAAGTTTTGGATATCCACAAGCTAAAGAAGGAAGAATCAGAATCGAAGATAGAAATAATATAGCAATGAGCAAATATATTGGAAAAAGAAGAATACTCGTGTGATTGAGTGGCCGGCTAGAGCTGGAGGGGTGTAAGTTACGTGGAACTAGGAGCGTGAAGTTGGAGGTATTGTAAAGTATTCTAGAGAATAAGCTTGAATGTGAAGCTATTAGTGTGAACAATTAGAAGTAAAATGATGTATAAAAGAAAATTAATTAGTGAGAGAGTGTTTAATGAGAAGAACCATCAAAACCAAATAGCTCCAAAGGAAGAGCATATATAACCAACGATTCATCAGTCAACAACCAAAAGAAACGAGGAAAAGCAATTGTTTCATGTCTAATTATTGTGGCACAAGCTAACCTAAATTAAAAAGTTTGAACCCAAATTTCATTTTGAAGTCTATTGTGCATCACTGCAAATCAAAATGGTGAGGTGTCGTGACACGTGCTTTGTTGTGAGTTTGTACTTTTTTCTAAACCACTTATTTTGAAGCCTGCTTTTAACATCATTGAGTCTATCTCATGTAAA